AAGAAAGAAATACTATACAACTACATGGCTTATCAAGGCTTCCAGAGTTGTTACTTAAAGTCTGAGTTATATAGAATATTCTGCATGACACTCTTAAACTTTTTACAGAAATATGTCACAAATTAATCCCCTATACTCAAAACAGTCTTCGAACAAAACTGAAGGAAACCAGCCTGGTTTTGGCCAATTTGGTGGCCATTCTCACTTCTCATTAATTAAAAAAACACATTATCCAAGTAGAAAAACATGCAACACAATGTTCTTGGTGCACAGGAGCTAAGCAACTGCAATGAGGGTTTCTTCCTTTAAAAAAAAAAAAAGCCCATATCAAGTTTACATTTTAACTACGTGAGCAATATTTGTACACTCAATGCAAAATGATTTATTTTGAGTTTAAAAAAAGGCATCCGTTTCTAAATGTCATAATCAGCAACTATTACTGAAACAACACGCTAATGTAAGAGACACTTTGCTAGTTTCTCTTCTCTCATTCCTACACTGCATCATGAGACTTGAAATATAGCTGAAGCACTCAGACTGCTGTCATTGTGTGCAACGAGAGCATGAATCCGCCTGTAGTCTAACACTATCATAGCCATACCATGCATGTCTTAACACATTATGCTCCCACGACACTGTGCAATCCTGCAGGTGTGTGTTATGATTAAATAGAGGGCAGGATCTGCAACATGTCTCCGCCAAACTGGCGACTGCATGCGCGGGCAGTGTGCAGCACACATGGTGGAGCAGGAGCTGTCAACACGCAACACTTAGCTGTCAAACCGAGCCGGGGCTCAGTGTCTCCCCCTGGCATTGGTGCACGGAAATCACACCATAACCAAGGCCTATCCCCGCCTGCATTTACCGAGGAGAAAGTCAACAAAATGGTGGAGCAGAGACAAATCACGTGACTTCTTTGTGCTTTCGGGTGCAATTTCAAGGGAAACAACCGCACACAACACGACTCACGAATACAAAATCAAATCTGTGCAGCATTATAATAACACATGTGGTGGAACGGGCGGATAATATTGAAGATTCATCGAGATCCGTCGTGTGCACGAAAGAGCAGACATGGCGGCCATTTTGCACAGCCTTGCGCAGGCAGCATAGTGGCGCCTCTCGATGTGAAAATACCGCCAAACCGATCCACCGCCAGTCGGGCAGTAATAGAAAAACATACCGATTCCTCCTCTTTCTCCATCCCTGTCGGCATCTGCGGCACTGCCCGGTTGATGGAGGCATATTCATGCAGGTCCGGCAAATCCTCGCAGCGGAAAACGGGCAGAGGCTTACTAGCATCCAGAGCCCGAGCCCGAAACGACAATTTACTCATTTTTATATTAAAAGATGCAGCATAAATCTATTGGATCTGCTCGGAATAACAGCAGGTATGCCTCGAGTTCTCATGGATGAATCTGTGGGAGTCAGCCAGTCAATTGAGCGTGGTTAGGGTCCGTAGCTGCGCGAACAGAGCCGGGAAGGCCCGGGTCTCGGTCGCTCTCTGTCGGTCTCTTTTCTCGCAGGCTCCGCTGATCCTCCCCGGTTCAATACGCCATGGCCAACATGGCGGACATTACAAACTCATGCAGCTCTCCGCTCGCTGCAAGCGGCCCAACCCCCTCGATCACGCAAACAGCCATTCCCACGCAGTTTTACACGCGTGCGCGTTCGTGAGACCCTTGGGGTACGGTAGAGGGGGGGTGTAGTGAGGGTGGGGGCTGGATGGATGCTGATGAAGGATGTGAACTTCCCAGGTTCATCCTGTGCTGACGTACCAGATCATATTTATTCTCTATGATGAAAAAACGTGGCAATAATAAAAAATAAATATAAAACACAGCAGTGTGTAGCGCCATGGCAATAAAATAAATATATTTATGGGTCAACCATCACAGGTTATGAGTGTTTTTAAACCTTGCAAAGACATATCATATAATGTATGTCGTGTGTTAACATTAATTTTCAAACATTAATGGGACACGTTCTGCATGTCCGATACAATTGTTTTGCAAACAGTGCCACCCTGTGGAACAAACAAACCATACTACTATCCTGCACTCATGTGAACAGCATCTGCTTGATTTTTTTTGGAAATGCACAGGACATAAAATCAGGGTCTAGAAGTGGGGAATTATTGCCTTCCTCACAACTTTGCAGTCATTGTTGTTTTCAATATTTTTCACTCATTAAGGATTGTGTGTAATCACATACTATGCCGAAAGGGCGGTTTATACCAATTTAGCTTATGTAATTTTAGTTGAGGAGGATACATTATTTATTTTGGCTATTATTTTAATTATTTTTTGTAGTACTGGAGCAGTGCTCGTTGCAAACTGAAATACGGCATATATGGCAAGAAATTGTTAAAGTTAAGATGGCAAAAGCTAGAGTGTTTTCCATGTTGCTATAATATAGCAATATGGAAATTGACTTGTTCTTTTAACAGAACAAGAACAGCTAATCTGTTATTCATGACTTTTTGACAATGCACACAAAACAAAATATGCTGTGGTGTTGTAATGTTTCCCAAAAAAACAAGGGCATGATAGCTTTACGCCTTGTCAAGCTATATAAATCCAAACACAGGCAACATTGTTTAATCTGTCAAAAATCAACAAGTGTTGCTTCCTCTTCTTGTTCGTAGCTGTCAGGCGTGGAAACATGCACGGTCTTCTGCTGCTGGAGCCCGAACACTTCCAGGATGGAGAATCTGTGCATCTCGACAGGTCCTTCTGCACATTACTGATGTACTGTGATGTTGTTTAAATTTCATCCCGTAAGATAAGACATGCCTTTTTCATTATCCGCCAATTGCTTTTGACAAAGTGGCATTTTCACAATGTTAATGCAACTATCAAAACTGCAAATCAATGTCTCTGTTACCTCACCAATCACAGGGCTCAACAACATTCAAGGCTGATCATTTCTGTATTGCTGAATGTGTTCGGCACAAATAATCCGACTGTTATCAAATCAAGGGCTTTGAAACATCCAAGCACAAGGGTAAAGGCAGTTATGTTTTGGAAGGAACGTTTTGGTAAAGGATGACATATTTTTTATTTTCAGCATCTTTCGGTTTTCCCTTCTGTACTAAAAACATACCAATCCATAACATTAAAACCGAGGTACACACTTAGCCCTGAATTTTATGTCAAGTTAAACTGGTGGTGTAGTGTTTGATCTAAATGTGGCCCAAAAGAGTGACTTACATAAGAAAGGTTACCCATCGTATGATACTCAACACTTGCGAAACAGGTATACATTTGCTTTATATGTTTCAGTATGAAGCCTAAGTAATCACCCTAATTATAAAGTTTATAGTCAGGGGTGCACATAACTTTTTTTGTGAGTTACTCGGATGAGTACCAGGAGACAGTGTCACCCCACACGAAGCGTGGTCCTCCTCAGTGTCTCCTTCACTGTCCTCTATTTACACTTCTTGCATGCTAGATGATGAAGATGATGAAGATGCACCTCCCTGTCTCTTTTTAAGCCTCCGATTTGCTTTCTCCAAAACTGTGAAGTCCTTGCATTTCCTGAGGCCAAGTTGAAGGATCAAATACTAAGAAATGATCACATGACTTGAAGTCATATCTGATTTCAGATGTGGGAAGTTACTAAGTACACTTATTCAAGTACTGTACTTAAGTAACTTTTTGAGATATTTGTACTTGACTTTGATTCTACTTTGTACTTCTACTCCACTACAGTTCAGAGGTAAATGGTGTACATTTAGTCCATTACATGTATTTAATCCCTTTAGTTACTTTACAGATCTGGATTAATGATGTGAAATATAATCAAGTGTTGAATCAGACTTTAGATCCACCTGGAGTAAATTCACAAGCTACCCTGCAGTATACAAAGTGATTACAACTAGCTGCACCTCTACCAGCTGTAATAACACTTTAATGATCAATCATTATAAAACATATCATATGTATTATTCTGAAATGGACCAATCTACTTTAACTATATTTTGATAATACTTTTCTAATTTGACTAACGTAACATTTTGAATGCAGGACTTTTACTGTAACAGAGTATTCCTACACAAGATCTGAGTACTTCTTCCACCTCTGTCTGATTTCAAACTCTTCCATTAAGAGTAAGTTTGCAACTGTGTGTTGTGATCAGCTGATTTTGCGTAGTTCTCCAGTGTGTGCGCGGGGGAGTCTCCCACTGCAGCCAGTTGGAGTTTTGGCACAATTCTGTTGTTCATACCGACGTTAACCCTGTCTGTGCACACGGCGACCAACTCTGTTGTCCGGTGATCTAAGCCTCTGCCTCCTGTAAAGCTTCACAGGTCCGTCGGTTATGTTCTGCGCGGCTCGCCCAGCTCCAGTTCAATCAGTCATAGAAATTCCGAAGATGTTTTGCAGGGAGCAAAACGGCAACGTAGCTGCTTAATGTCTTTGGTTTTTTTGACATGTAGTTTACTCCATTGAGTGTTTACACGTGTAGACGAAATATGTGTTTTGTTTTTGATGTTTTGAGGTACGTGTAGTGACACAAGTGACGTTACGCAATTCAGATTTGTGCCGCGCATGCGTACCAGTTATGTGCACCCCTGTTTATAGTGCAAGAATCAATAGGGAAATCATAAAACGTATTAAAGTTACTAAATCAACTTCCTCCTTGCCCTTCAAGAATATGCCTCAATAAAGATGTCTCAAAGTAAAATCTCTGAATTCTCCGATCATCTATAAACATAGAATGTTTGCTGCATATGATGCAAGACAGCTCAACCACTTATGTCTAGAGGGAAATAAACTCATATGCATCACTACTACACCTCTGTGGGTACAGTCTGACACTAAAACACATGTTTAACACCAGGTGGACCGTCAAAATACTAATTATCTGCATATGCAACACTGAGAAATAAAAAAAAGATTCTGCAGACATTTTTAACGTGGGGCCTGATCTTAGCTACCTGACCTTTACATGTTATAGTCATATCACAACATAGAGAGAAACAATAAAATGCAAATAACCTGCAGGGATGGCCGAGAATGCCTGGGGGAGTGAGTGACTGATACAGATGTGGGAGGCTGACATGATAATCATCATCCATTTGGGAGCAATAGGCTCACAGCTGCAGACCATGATGGAGACCTGTGAAACAGACATTAGCAAGAAGGACATAATTAATATAGAACACATCATAAACAGTGTCTATCAAAATGCATGGTTAATATGATTTATTAGGCACAGTGCCTCAGCAATTTGTGTTGTTTTCTTCTCTGTTGGGCATTACAATTAAACTGAAATATGTGGGATCACTGGAAAAAAATATATGGAGCAAGATTTGATCTACAATACACACCAACACTAGTTCACACTTTCAATTTGTTCAATGCATGATTTTTTGCTGGGATGCATTAGCTTTTTAATAAATGCAGAACAAGTATTGCCACATAACATTAGTGCAACCCTTTTATGGAAGAGTAGAGGGGTAAATATAACAGCACACGACAGAAAAAGAGAAATCGTCTTAACAAATGTAGGCGACAACCATGCACCGATACGAAGCCGATTACAAGGCAGCTTTTAACGGGTTTGTAATCGCTTCGAGCCCAAAGATCAGACACAGCTGTGTTTGCACAACCGAGGCTAGCTGATGCTAACGATATCCTAGCACAGTTCCCCTGACCCTGCGCCATTTACCAGCCAGCTAACAGGCTGCCAACAGTTTTATTTCAACTCGTAACTTACTTGTCCGCGATTAAAATCCGTCACTTTCATTTTCCTCGGGGAAAAGAGGGGTAAAACTACATTGAGCCAGAGTTTTAACTTACCTGCTGCTAGCAACGCCACAGGGGAGGATGATGATGATGGCATTTCTTCTTCTGGTTGTCATGCTAGCCCAATGCTAACGCTGGTTAGCTCCCTTCAGGACGCCTCAGAGGAAATAAAAATGATAAATCCTTTAAAAAAGTCGCGTTAACACACCGTGAGAGGTCGCTGGGAATAACAAGCCAAAACAGAGGAAGTGTTATCCTGTCGCTGAGGGTAAACTTTGATAGTTTCCTAAGGTTACTTCGACAACAACAAAAAAAGAAAAAACATCCAAACTGACCACCAAGCCACTTTGCAGGCGGAGTGTGATTGGAGGGTGCACGCCACCAATCACCTGTGGAGAGCTCACTGTTCCCCCCGCCCACCCACTAATAATAACAATAATAATGTATTTCATTAAATGTTTTGGTTTAAGAAATGCATTGTAGTAAGTACAAAAGCAACAAATAACAATATAGCCTTAAATAAATTAATAAGTGCAACCTCTGACTAAGTGTATTACTCCTTTATTTAGGCCATGATGCAACAGTGATTTTTCAGCATGGTTGCAGTATTTGTTATGTAACTGTCTCCGGGGCTGGTCACCTCCCTCCAACCCCCCCCCCCCCCCATCTCTGCCCCTTCACATGCAGGGCAATGCCGCCTCCTCTGTGATATTTGCATGATGCCACATCTTTTATGATGACACAGCTGATGCTCCACCACCACCAACAGCAGCACCACCTCCTACTAGGTGCCAAAGCTGCATGCATTCCTGCCCCGTGACTCTTGGATTGAAGGAAGCATGGCTATGATTAATATCGCTTTGTTCAACACTCCAAGCAAGGTCATCAGCAGCCATCTGTAGGCAGTGGAGAACCCCTAATTTACGTTTGAACATCCCATTGTTCCTCTGCGCTTACATGATGCAGCCCAGTGCCCTGGCAAAGTGGCTGCACATACACTGGCTGCTCTTAGAGTCTTTTAAGAGTTGTACATCACCATGTGAAGCCTGCAGTGTTCTGTTTGATTGATTCAAAGGTGTTTGCCGGAATACTGAAGCACCGAGAGTCAAGGTTGCATGTCGGTGTCCAGAATAGCATCTTCTCTGACTGCTGAACTGTAAATGAATGTGAAGATGCTTCATCATTTGCAGCAGCGAGTCAATTTCTTCTCCTGTCATCTAGAGGGCAGTGGAGACCTTTGTAAAGTAATGTGTCTCCACTGGGATTACACTGCAAAATGCTAACCTTTTAGTCTTTTGCCTTCTGAGAGCAAAGTTACACAGCTGAGCCACACGTCAGCATATGTGGGATTCTTCTTGGAAAATATGTGAATAATACATTAATTTAACTTTGCATGCATTCCACAGACAACTAACCTTGTGTTGCAAGCAGTTAATGTGGGGATGCCGTGTGAATGTGTGCATGCAGTGCATGCAGGGAAATGTCTAAGGTGGCAGTCAGGGTTGCATATTGAGATCAAAGGAGAACAAGTCAGACCCCAACATCCGTTTCAAACCCCTCTCCGAGGAAGGCTGTTGCTTCATTGTGCTTCACAGCAGGGATCCTGATTGAGAAGTAGATCTGTTTCCCTGGCTGCTATTACTGATTTCGTTAACATTTGGGGTTGACAATTGTCATGATGGCCCTTTTAAAGACGGGCTGTGCAACACAGTAGAAACATTACTCTTAGATATTGAAAACAGATTAAAGTGTTTTTGTTATTGTAATTTTTAGAGTTTTATGACATAAGCATATAATTCTGCATTCTATATACAAAATATGATTGCAACCATTTTTAGGAAGTCTCATGCTTTTTCCTCAGCTCTTATTGTACTTCCTGTGTTCATTTCACCAATACATTTAGATTTCTTTTCAGGCACTGACGGAAGGCTTTGTTTGGGCATGGCTCACCTTCTTCCCGCGTCTCTGCTCAAGCTTTTTCTGATAACAGGCAAACTCTTGTGGATGCTGGTGAGTAGTTTCCATAGCAGCCACAGAGCCACACCCAGCATCAGCAGCTCATAGCACTGCAGCGATCAGGATTACATTTGGACCTCATGGGCATACCTGAGAGACAGGGGAAGCCGGAGCTCTTTATCGGAAACAGATTGTCGATATTCATTCCAAAAACGTATTTTGCATGAAATTAATATGCTTTTTAAATCTTAAGGGGGGTGAGCGAAAGAAACATTAAGTGATTAAACTTTCCCGGGAGAAATGTTTTAATGAATGCAAATAGTTATGTAAGATGAAAAATGTGCCATAACAAGTAAAAATAGATGATAAAATGAATACATATATAAAAAGTAAGGGTACAAATGTGCAGATTGTTCTACATTACAATATACAATGGTATATTAGTTAGGAAGATATGCTTATTAATTGTGGACAAAATGATATACTGAAAACTTTGCACTGCACATGATACACTAATAACAAATAAAGGTTGCTATTTTATCTGAATACATATCAGTTTGTGCCTCTATTACATTTCTCGACTTGTGTAGAGGGATTTTCCAGGGAATATTAGAGGGTCAAACTTATTCAAACATCCAAATAAAGGGCAACCTCTCGGGAAGATATCTCCTCGTTGGGAACACCGGTCCTTTGTTGTTGGTAGTTGCTGGGCTCTGAGGAAAATGGAAGCCAACAATAATAACACTTAGAGAAGCATGGTGGGGAAAAAGCTGCCATTTGCCACTTTAAGGAAAAACATCACTTAAAGCTGCATTCACTGACAAAATCTATTGAACTGTTCCATTGTTATGGATGTATTGGTGCAGTAATAAAATAACTACCCCTTACAGGAGGTCTATGAACATTGAGAGAGTCTTCTGTTTGTCCAGTCGTCAGCAGGATTTGTTCTCTTTAGCCCTCAGTGTCCACGTCCATACACCTGAGGAGGCTGGAGTTGGAGGCACTGTTGCTAAGACACCAGCCTGAAAGACCAGCGTGAGGTTCAGGTGGGGACACCCCGTCTCGCGCTCCTTTAGATTATAGGACAAAAGATGCATTTCTGTGAAAACAAACAGTGTAATCAAAGACAGAACCAGAGGGTATACAAGCAAAGAGAGTATTTTGGTATCTTTTCATCATTATATATCCAAAAACGTCCATACTTTTTTGGAATTTCTGCTTAATTTGCCAGAAATAAAAAGGATGTGGTACCTATGCACAGTGCAGATGTTGGGCCTTTTGGAGTAGTTGCCATGGCAGGAGCTACAGTAATAATCCCCATCGTTTAATACCAAAACAGACAAGACTTCAAGCTGAGTGCACTCACATGCTCCACCACAACGGCCCAGACACACCAAACTGACACCAAAGAACAGGTCCCAACGGAACACAACTGTTGTGTCGCCTCACGTCGCCTGTGTCTTGGCCAACAGTCAGTGGCGGTTCTAGACCAATTTGACTGGGGGGGCCAGGCTGGGGCCAGTTATTTTCTGAGGGGGGCACAATAAATGCGGGACGAAAAAGACAAAGACAGTATGATAATTGCGCATAAGAAAACAATGCAATACAGTTATTGGTATTTGTTTCAGTACACATATTTATTTCAGATACTTATAGTTACAGTTTTTACACTCTAATGCAGGGGTCTCCAACCTTTTTTAGAATGAGAGCTACTTTCAAAAAATAAAACAAGTAGTGAGCTACTTTTACTTCTCTTTTTTTTGTTTTTTGCAGTGTATATATTTAGTACATTTTAACATTATACTTTGTGTGCTGTTTGGGTCATGTGGGACCCGTTTTCAGTGTTTACTAAAAGAATATGTATGCAATTTAATTATTTTAACCTGCTTTATTTGGGGGTGGACCTCACATCCTCTAGGGGGTCCGGGGGCATGCACCCCCGGGAAATATTTGTTTTAAATGTTGAAGTTAAATGCATCAATCTGGTGCACTTTGAGCACAACATCAATTTATGGATACAGCTCTCAACACTCATATGAAAGGGAGCTGTATACTTTTCAATAATCCAAACATCTTTAGAATATGATCACAACCAATAACAAATCATTTAAACTTGTTTATTCTTATCTTATGTTACCTATAGTTAGCATTCTTTCTTTTTATTTATGCATATTTTACTAATCACTCCCCTTTTAAACTGTTGCAAGAACGTGATTGGTCGATATTCATTGTGGGGGGTGAGGGGTGTTGGATAGATATAGAGTTGTAGTAAGTAGATAGAGTTCGCTAAGATTGAGGTTTCATTTATGCATAGGGTAGATTCTTTCAATTACATTTCCATTTTTTTTTTGTGTATTTTTTACATTTTGGATTTGCTGTACTTTAGAGAATCCGACTGCACTTTCACTATCCAACGTGTTTATGATGCGCCAGCGGACGTCATTTTGTGCGTCTGCTGCTGTGGGGAAACTATGGAAACTACAGTTTTCTATACAGCGGACTACAACATGGATGTTCAATAAGAACAGGGACTACTGCAAACTCATCTAGAGACTCTGCACCGTGCTCTGATGCTGTTGCTTTATGCTTTATGAACGTGGACAACAGAGAAACATATTCTTCATGACCAAAGTTGGAATTGAAATGAAAAAGGAAAGTAAAACTTATGCTCGTCACCCTCTCCCTCCGGTCCACATTAATAGAGTGGCGAACTCCCTCCCCTTCCGGGGGACCTCCATGGGACCTTATTTCGGAAAAATCATGTATTGAAGTCAATCGAGTGGCGAAGTCCCTCCCCTTCCGGGGAAGCTCCATGGGACCTGGGCCCTTTCTCATTTCTCTAACTCCCCTCCTCGACTCCTATCCTCGAGACTTAGTCCCGCCCACATAATTCTGTGGGCGGGACTAAGTAAGTAAGTAAGTAAGTATATTTTAACAGTTTTACGACAAACTGTGACTTTTTTTACATGGAAATTATTTTTTAAGATTGACATGTAATTCGTGGCACAATTCAAACGGGATCGAAAGAAAAGAGAAAACATACTAATATATAATTTATGAATAAAGTGAAAGATTCTACAGCAATTCCACAAAGTTATGGTTATTAGTTAGAGGCACTAAGTTATATATCTTGCAGTGTTGACATTATTATAGTAGTCCAGAAATGATTTCCATACTTATTGGAATTTATTCACAGAGCTCTAAGTGGTAGGACACTGAGCTTTTCTAACTTCGTATGAACCATTACCTTCTCTACCCATCGGCTATGCATAATTTCCAATTATGAGACATTTAGCTAAAAGCGACGAAGAACACACAGCGTGGGCCGGGGCTCGAGAAAGATTCAGATTTGTTGATTATATTTTGTATTATTAAATCTGAATC